CAAAATGATAGGCACTATGGTCCTATTGAACGCTATTGAATATCATTGGAATCGCACAGCTGGTTCCGGAGATATGGAACATGAACATGAACATGTTCCGGTGAGAATTGGTTACGAGACTGGATGTTACCACAATTACGACAATCATGCGACACCTTAAATCACATGAGAATGGTGGTAAACCTGAGATTCCAGGACCGCATTGGTCACATTCGGCCATGTTCCACGTACTCACGGGAAAGTGGCCAGTTTCTGACTTGATCAAACCCCTATCAACACCTCAAATCATATGAGAATTCAATAACAAGTTCATTGATAGCCATACCTACTGTGCAGGACCATATTGGCCACATCCGGCCATGTTCCGGACATCCTTATTCTTCTTCTTCTTCGCATTTCATACTTATTGTTTATCGCATATTAGCTTATTGCGTGCTCTCAACTTAGTGTTCTAGATGCACTTCCACAGTTATTAGTTGAGAGCTTTCGAAGCCCGTATCATTCTTGCGTTAGTATAATTGTGTGGCTAATATTACAATCATAACTATATGCCCACGGAAGTCCAGATATTTTCCAACCCGAAAAATTCCTAGACCGAACCGGTAATCGAACCCAGCCACCTCCAGCATAGTCTTGCTTTGTAGTTGGGCCTTTACCGGGTGAACTTAGGGACGTTCCCCCTCCCGGGAATCTCCGGGAGCTGTAAAACAAACTCATTGTTGGTCACAATCAGAACCCAGGACCACATTGACCAACATCTGGACATGTTCCGGATACCACCTGGGATGTGGCTCAAATTTGAATTAGTAAGGGGCCGTTCATAATCCACTTAGTCCAAAATATAATACTTTTTAACACCTCCCTCCTCCCTTGTAGACTACAGTAGTATTTTCTGAAATTCCTCCTCCACTCTCTTAAAGTCTACGTAGACTTTAATAATTATTAAACAAATTCAAAATCGTTGTATTGTCTCAGATTATATTTTATTCATCATTTTAAATCGACTTTTGCAAATAATATATTCAATATAAAATAAATGGATATAAGTTCTTCCGGATTGTTGGCTCAATGTTCAGATCAGCGTTTCATGAACTTTATGAAGAATGGAGAACTCCAAGAACATTTCAGGAACTTCAAGAAAACTTCTGGTAAGTTCAAAGATCCTTGAAAAACGTTAGAGAGCTTCGGGAAAGTTCTCATAGCTTTAAGGTACTTCCATGAAAATCTGAAAATTGTGTAACCTTTAGGAAAATTCCTAAAACTTCAGGAAATTCCAAGGATTTAAAAAAATGGCTGGAACTCAACAGAATTTAAAAATAAAAGTGCAGACAACGTCAAGTTGGGAGTACCATCATGAAAATTTCGGGATCTTTAATGAAGTTCCGAGAATTTCAAGAACATTTAAAAAACTTTTCATTAACATGGAACTTTTATTTTTTTAAATTGCGGGAGCCTTCAAGAAGTTCTGAAATTTCAAGTAAATTCCAAGAATTTTAAGAATGATCCAAAAACTTCAGGGTAGTTCTGAGAGCTTAAATATCGTCCAGAACTACGGCGAAGTTTCAAGATCAGATTTCAAGAAGAAATTCATTAAATTCAGGAAAATTGCAGGAGCTTAACAGAGGTTTCCAAAACACCAATTACAGATTTTAAAAGAAGTACCGCGATCTTTGGGGCAGTTCTCAGAACTTCAAAGTAGTTCCATGAATATCAGAAAATTGGCGGATTTCAGGAAATTTATTTGAGTTTCAGATAAATTTCCAGAGCCTAAGGCTAGAAAACAGAAAGAATTATCAAGAAGATTAAAAAATTAAAGATATTCCGGAGAACATCAGAGAAGTTAAAAACAAACTTGCAAAAAATTCCGGAAACTTAACGGAAGCTCCGATAAATTCAAGGAAGTGTAGAAAACGTTGGGAAGTTCACTAAATTCATCCATTCAGAAACATCCACATAATAATGTCGAGAACTTCAGGAATGGCTGGACAACATTAGAGACATTTTTAAGGAAAATTAGAGCAGATCCGAGGAATGAACGCAAATACCGAGGATTTCGGGGAAGATTCATAAAAAAGACTGCGGGATAATTAGATCTGGGAACCACTATAACATTTCAGCCACTTCAGGGAAGCTTAGAGATCATTAGGGTGGTTCACCCAACTTCAAGAAAACTACTGGAACTTTTGAGAAGTTCTTAGAAATTCAGGGAAGTCTATAGAACTAGAGAAAACTTTGAATATTTCATAGAAATTCCAAGAACTTCTGGCTAAGGTTGGTCCAGAGCTCGAATAACTTCAGAACAGCATTTCGGGGAACTTAGTTGGTACTTTGACTATATGTTTAGTATTACTTCTGCGTGAAGTCAACGATTTACATAGTTGAAGATGCTAATTTCGAATGACTGACTGAAGTGGTAATGTTTATACGATAGATGAGGAGGAGATGAAAGTATAGAATTGATAGTTTCGTTTAGATTACGGCAGTGGGGATGTTTAAAGATGTTTTAGGGTTAGTTTTGAATAATTCTGGACAGCTCCATTAGTTCAAGGAAAATTTCGAGAATCTTTGAAAGTTCTGGAAATTTCAGGAAAGTCCAGACAAGTCCTGAGAAATTTAGAAAACTTCATACATATTTTGAGAACATTACAGAAGTCTAGAAATTTTCTTCAAAAAATCTTCAGGTGAAGAACTTTATGGTAATTACGGGAACTTCAGGGTAGCTTCTAGAACATCAGAGATGGTCAATGAATCTCAGTTCAGTTCAACTAACTGAACTAGACACTCAGGTAATTTCCGACAACTGCAGTTCTGATATCCTCACGGAAGTCCAGAGAACTGCAAAGAAGTTTCTATATTTTCAGATAATTCCATCTTCTTCTTCTTCTTCTTCTTCTTTTTATTCTTCTTTAATTAGCGTAGGTCTCTGTTCTGCAATCTACACACTTAGAAACAACTACCCTAATTAAAAAAAACCATAAAAGAGAGCTTAACGACGTGTTCGGGGTATCATCCAGACCATTTGTGGGATAGTTTACCCATCCGGGATACACTCCGTTTATGGTATTTGTTTATTAGGGTAATTTTACACGTGACGGAGTCCATCTTTGACATAACAGATGAGACGTAAACAAACAAGTCTTGTAATAAAGGGTTTCCCACATCAAACTGCATCACGGGAAAAACGCTGTAGAAAATTACCCATTGGGTATTTTCTCTTGAAAATTAGGGCAGAAGTAGTTAGAGTGTATTGTTTACACTATATTTTTATCGCTGTCAGTATTTCAAAAGTTGGAAAAAATGGCGTCACCCGAAAAGCAACGTCGCGAATTGATTTTGCGCAAGCACCTGGAAAATGCTCAACTCTCTCATCGGGACATCGGAAAACAACTCGGAATCGTGCAGTCAACGGTGAATCGTGTGATTAATCGTTACTACGAAACTCTGAGCATCGAACGGAAGGAGAAATGCGGTCACAAGCGTGTCGTGAAAACGTTTAAGCGGAATCCCAATGCTTCGCTCAGGGATGTGGCCAAAAAGTTGGATCTGTCAAAGTCTTTCGTTCAGAGAGCCAAGGACCGGGAAGGACTGCATACAAAGTGCAGAAGGCTCCAAATCGTGACGAGCGGCAAAATACGGTGGGAAAGTCAGGGGCCCGGAAACTGTACACCCAGATGCTCACGAAGCCTCATTGTCTCATCATGGATGATGACTGAAGGCGGACTTCCGGCATCTTCCGGGGCTACTGTTCTTCACCGCCCAGCACAAGTTTGATGTATCGGAGGAAGTAAGGAAGCAGAAACTTTGGCAAGCGATCTGCTCATGTGGCAACCGGAGTGCGCCGTTCGTGACTACCGGGACTGTAAACGGGGAGATCTACCTCAAGGAGTGTCTACAGAAGCGTCTCCTTCCTCTGTTGAAGTAACACAAGGGCCCTACGATCTTCTGGCCGGATCTAGCTTCGTGCCACTATTCAAATGTTGTCCTGGAGTGTTACGAAGCCAACGAAGCCTACTTTTTTTGATTTCGTCCCACTGTGCGGCGCAGCAAATATAATGATTCAAATTTAATGCCTGAAATCTCGACGTGGCAGTGCAAGTGCGTATGATTTATGGAAGCTGGATCATATCACTTTAAGGGCAAGGTTGATAGAATCCACAAATGGCCATTGTCATGGCTGATTTTCTTCTATCAATAGTTTCCTTAAAGTTTTGCTGCACACATTTTGATTTAGGAGCAAATGTCATTGACCCAATTTAGCAATAATTATATAAGCCTGTTTTTGTTTTCTATATATAGTGACCAATTAGTCTCAAACATCGCTAGACTCTTGGATTTGAGAAAAATTACACGAAGTGACCGAAGATAGCAATGGAATCATTCAACCCTCTTCCAAAGCTTTTCATTGTGAATGCCGTTAAGAGATTCGAATTAGTAAAAGGCATTTTAAATGACCTTTTATAATTTGGAAGTCGTTTCGCCAATAATTGATCCCATTTATCTTTTTGATTACACCAAATTAAATCGGAGAAAAGAACTGTTCTGCATATTATGTATGCTCAGACGGATCTGCAAATGACATTGATTTTAATTGAAGCGAATGAGATAAAAATAAAGCAAGGCTAGATTATGCAGTCTACCGACCGAGTGGTGCAACTGTGCATGCAAATGTGGATGAGATAAGAAGTAACCACATGAGACATGGAAATGCTTTTTTTTTTGTTCTAATATTATCTGGAAATAAAACCATCACTCCCATCCCATACTTTTCGAGAGATAGTGTAGATTGAAGCCAGGTGATTAGATGGTTCGTAACGCATATGCGATTCTGAAGGGTCAAACTTTTGCTGCCGGAAATCACGGAACAGAAATTAAGTTGAACAATTTTCGCAGTAATATTCGTAAGAAGAGGAATCAGTTTTAAAATAATGGTCGACATTGCACGTGAGAATTGATGATATGACTGATTGAGTTGATTTTGTTTTTGTTTTTTTACTTTGCAGAAGAAAATGATGACTTTTCGAGCACCGCACTGCCAACGAAAGGCGAGGCGGAGAAGATTGGAGAGAAGGCAGCGGAGATCACCGAGGCACTGGCACACGAAATGGGCATCCCAACGTGGGGCTTCGTCTCCATCATAATCGCGGTGCTCGTGATTATTCTCGGCATCTGTGGCTTCTGCATCCGGCGCTGCTTCCGCAAGAGACGCTCCAAAGACGGCAAGAAGGGCATGAAAGGAGTCGATATGAAATCGGTACAATTATTAGGTTCAGCATACAAAGAAAAGGTATTCAGTAGAATCTCATTCATTAAATGTGTCAGTGTACAGGTGCATTGTAATATGTGCGTTCACTAATCTAACCGGAAAACAAAGCAAAAAAAAAAATCTGTTGTATTTGTTGTAAACCCTCTTTTAAAGCTGAACCAACCTAGATGCTATTTATTATAACTATTAGAGTGCTGTTCTATCGATGTTTGTAGATGTCCCACCTGTTCCATATCGCTGAACGGGAGATCTAAGCAGAACACTCTGACTACATTCATGTTTTTTCTCTTCGCGACGCGATAAAACAACCAAACTAAATTCGCGTTTTTAGGTCCAACCTGACATGGAAGAACTGACTGAGAATGCCGAAGAGCAAGACGAAGGGGAAAGTAAGCAGAGCGAACAGAAGCTCGGCAAACTACAATATAAGGTTAGTGGATGTTGAGCGGCTTAAAAGGTCATGTAATTGTGCAATAAATCTAACCTTACCTTGAATGCTTGCAGCTTGAATACGATTTCAATGCAAACGCTTTGACTGTGACCGTAATCCAAGCGGAAGAATTGCCAGCTCTTGACATGGGAGGTACATCCGATCCTTATGTAAAAGTCTATCTACTACCAGATAAAAAGAAAAAGTTTGAAACTAAGGTTCACAGGAAAACCCTCAATCCGGTATTTAACGAATCGTTCACGTTCAAGGTAATTCCAACAATGACAACGTTTCTTTCTGTTTAGCTGTTAAGTTAGTCGTTTCTTGTTTCCACCTTCTTCAGACAATCATAGGTTCCGTCCTCATAGTATTTTCGATACTCTTACCAGAAATTATTCACCACTTTCACTTTCGCGTCTTGCACTTACGTATTAGTTCGAACACTTTGGTTCCACTTCTCCATTATTGTTTGAGAACATTTCCATGATTCCGTTAGGTACACATTTCCAGAAATTCAGATATACTAACAAACCCACAGTTCTTAGCTGAATAAACTTTGCAACAGCCCCAAGTCTCTAGGCTAGAAATACTTCGTCTATCTGTATATGTGGTAAACTAATTGTTTATATGTAAGGAACTTCGCTTTCTTGTGGCGACCAGCGTCGAACTAACATCTGTTCTTGTGGTTTCTTCTTGTTTCTTTTTCTTCTTCTTCTTCTTCTTATGGGGTATATTTCCTGCAGAGCCTTCCATATGCCGACGCAATGAACAAGACGCTGGTGTTTGCCATATTCGATTTCGATCGATTCTCCAAGCACGACCAGATCGGAGAAGTCAAGGTACCCCTATGCCAGATCGATTTGGCCCAAACGATCGAAGAGTGGCGAGAGCTGCAGAGCGTCGAGGGTGAAGGCGGTCAGGTACGTGATCAGTTCCCTTCTATAGTCAGGTTTTTGATTTCGTTTTGTTTGAGACAAAGTACAGTTTATATATCACTACAGAACAATCTTAATCTAATATATTTCAACGATTACCACAACTACTACCATTACAAACAACTGTTACTATCACTAACACACAGTCTCAAGATCGCAATCATAATGTACTAACAATGATCTCCGCTGTACGGTAGAGTTACGGCAGGCTTGAATGTGATTGTAAACCAACTTCGATAACAAGCTAAAGAGACACTCTGAGACACAGCTTGAGGAGGCGCGCGTGATTTGCTAATTGTTGTCAAAAAAAAAAAGCAATAGAATTCCGTTTGACTTCAAATTTGATAGTAAAATAACAAAAGGAAATTGTGATTAATTCCAGTAACCTACACCCAGTTCAAATTCAATTCATCTTGATACTATTTGACATTCAAAGGAAATGATTTTACATGGTATTATCTTATAGGCAGTTATACTAGACTTCAGGAGATTTGTTACTTTTTTTCGATATCTTATTACATTTCATACTTCATATATTTGCTTACATGTTAGTATATTTTCCTTTCTATTTGACGTGGAAGTATAGACTAAGAATAATTATCTACAAAAAAAATACATCTCTAATATTCATTCATATTATTATATACTACTCTTGATTTTGGTCTCCAAACGGCTTTAAACTGTTGTTTTCGGTTGTTTTGTTTCGTACAACACACGTATTCTTTTGATTGGAAACAAGCTCTAGTACTACTAATAACCGGTTGTTGCGAAGACTCATTATACATTGAATCAAACCAAACAAACCAAAAAGAAAAGCTAAATTGAAAGAGGTGAACAACTAACAAAATTGTAGACAAAATTAAGGTGCATCTACAATTCATTGCAAAGGCTGTCTTCATTCATGTTAATAGAACGAATCTAAAGGTTTTCGTGTATCTCTATATTAATTTTACGTTCGATCAATTGTTTTGACCTAAGCTATTCCTGCTAAGAATCACAACATTTAAATAACGCAATTGAATTGGTGTTTGTGATTTTTTTAAGTTACCTTGTTTTACCTAATACTGTAGTAATTTTTCTGTTGGAAACTTTATTTTACAATGATTTCATCCTACCAGTAAAATCTAATCTCAATATTTTGCAGAATATACCCCTAGGGGAAGTGCACCAGTTATGATGCTAGTTAAAAATTTGGTTCCCTTTTTGGAATGTACCTATGTGATTGGAATGGGTGGGACTAAATACTGGTACCATCGCCTATATGGGATTGTGTCATAACTGGTGCATATGCCATATCTGGTTCTCTTACCCTACATTTCCATACTTTACATTTGAAATACCCTTCGAGATTGTGTATGAAGTTTCTTAAAAATACACTCTTAAAGGAGCATAAATCTCAACTTCCTTATAACATATGTTCAATGATTGCCATGGACATAAACAGAGAGAAAGGGGTGGGAAGTTCAAATGCAGAATGTGTGCAGAATGGGTAAATACGGAATTTTGAATATTTTGGTATGTTTAAAAGAAAATTTATTAACCTTCCCATCAAATTGTCGAAGTCCCCCCGAACTCAAATGTTTGTCTCAGATATTTAAATTTCCTGAAAAAAATCTGCGTTACGTGATTGATGAAAGTTCAGAAACGCTACCGAGCTGAAAGACTGGATTTAGGAAGTGTTTCAGAATTCTTGGAAATGTGTTTCATTGTCAAATATTTGAGATCACGCTCTAAGAAAACTGTTAAAGGTTATGAGGCTTCAATTTTAAATATTCTGAGGTTGCAATTTTTGACGTAGGATTACGTCTTTCGGCAACATATTAGGGTGCAATTTAAAAAAAAAACCAAAATCTACCGCGTTACAAAAAGTGGTCAGGTTTTGATCACTTGTAACCCTGTCAATAGCGGATGGATTTTATTTCTAAACAATCCAATCGATTGGAAATTTATCTACGAATCTGTTAAAATGAACACTTTATCTTTTTTCTACAGTTCACTATTGGAAATCACATAAATGTCCAACTGTTGCAATGATGATCAAAGTTATCATCGATTGCCTGCAAACAATTGGTTTCCCTGACACAGTCGCCGAATATTGAAACCGAGCACGTAATCCTACGTCAAATCTTCGGTCGTGTCTTGGATACAACCTCTTACTTTTTTTCTTAGTGTGGGACATGAGATTTTTTTTTGAAACTTCAGACAGAAAATTGTTTAAATTCCTAAACTTAATGAATTAAGATTTCAAACTATGTGGATGAATGATGATATTCAAGATGATGGACTTTAAAAAAATCCATTAGATTTAAAAAAAAAAAAACGTGAATTCTGGCACTTTGTCGAACAGTGTGAACTTTTGTGGAAATTCCATAGGAAATTTGCTGAGTGGAGATTTTAAAAGGAAATTCTAGGTAATACAGTTCTGAGTAGTCCTGAATAAAATTTCAATGTTGTTTTGAGGAGAATTCCAAGGTAAACAAAAGCGTCCGCTGAGGTAGTTATGAGTAAAAATCTAAGGAAATGCTTATGCAAATTTTAAGGATATTGTGAGGAAAATACAAAACAATTTCTGAAGATAATGTCTTCCTTTTTTCCTCTGTTCGGGGCGCAAATCAACTGCGGCCAGTAATTGTATCTATTGTGGTATACTCCGCGTCCTTAGTTTAGTGCATGTCGTATTACTCCATCACTATTGAGAAATTATGAAATGTTTGGTTTTGATACAGTTCTCATTCTTTTCATTATCGCAAGGAACCGATTCTAATTGTAAGATTCCGCTATCAATACCCTTCGAAGAGTGAGAGCACAATTTCCAAGGAATTCTGAGGAAATTCCAAGGAAATACTAAAGATAATGTAAGGCAATTCCGATTAGAATTTCATTGTTATTTAAGGACAGTACTTAAGGAATGTCAAGGAGTAGCATTCATAGGTAGCTTTGATGAGAATGCGAAAAGAACTATGACTCTGTCAAAAGAGTTTCAAGAAGGAAATTCCGAGAATAATTCCAATGGATACACACGTCGATTATTTAACAGGAGTCAGTATTTTTTTCTAAGTTTTTGAATTGCTGAAAAACTCGGTAAAAATTCAAATGATCGCTATCGGTAAGGAATCATTGATATCGATCTATTATTATATGGGGCTAACAGAACTAAGTCTGTACAAGTTCGGAACACATATTCTCAGTTTTGAATTTTCCACAGAGTTTTTAAACTTTTACCGAACAGTTCCGCAATTCAAAAATCCAGTAAAACCTTATTGACTGGATTAGTCAAACAAACGATGAGGTACACCGGGGCAAGTTGAAACAGTGGGCGTTACTATTAGCGGAAGAGGGTAATCACTGTTAATATTTTTTACAGTATTCTACCCAAGTAAACATTGGCACGTTATTTCGCCTTCTTGTTTATACATATACATCTGAGCAACGGCTATACCAGTATTTGCAAGTTCTAATGAGGCCCGTATAAGGCAAAAAAGGGCCACTTATTTGGATTATTGGTTACTTGGGTACATACCTAAATGCATCTTATTACTGTCCATACAAGTACTTACAAACAGCTCAACCTAAATGCATCTTATGACTGTCGAAACAGCTCAAGGTTTGTTTATTTTCATTAGTTATGAAATTTATAACAAGCATTTTTTTTCCAAAGCGCTTTAACTTCTACAAATAGTTGAGTTTTCTGTATTTTCTTCATTTGTTTGCACTAGGGAAGCAAATGAGGGCTAATGATAGTGATTATATAGAAAATCCCGGCACAAATGAGTTTGTCCGAACAATTTAAAGCACTTCATGTACACCGCATGGAGTAAATAAAAATGAGGACAGAGGGGTAAGATGAAATTGTAAACATCACATTATCAATACAAAAAATCAGTTAAATTGGTTTGAGATAGACCAAAAAATAGTGGTTGTGTGTGTGTAGATAAAATCCATCTCCCACTACTGACTGGAAGTGCTTTTATGGAAGAAACCTGCCTGCACCTTTTTGTTGATAAAACTGTTTTTACCGTAGATGCAAACATGTTTAGCCCTAGAAATGAAAGTTGATAGCTCTACTGTAAATCCAATGACCCATTTCAAGAATGCCTATTCAACACGTACATTCCGATGTCGTCTTCATATGCAATAATCCCCGCATGAACACATTCACATATCATATGGATATCTGAAGTGTATTCACACTTCCAGAATCATAAAAATACTTCTTTGATACTGGCAGATATTTAGTAATAAAGTTTAAGTTGCAATTCATATGGGTAAACAGAAATAATTATATAGATGGCAAATAAATTTAGCTAAGCGTTCCAAAGCGTTAGTTAGAACAAACCGTACCTCATACCACGAAACAGGAAGAATATGATTCTACATTCAACTCATATCACTGATCACTGTGGCAAACACTAGGGATACGTGGGATTTGAAAATTATCACTTGAAACTCTTTTTAAAACCACTTCTGTGCTTTCAATTTAACTTTTTCTAGATCAAAATTGTAATTATTTTAGTTTTTGCAAGAGTGAAAACGACGCAGCAAAACAAAAACACGACCTTTTCGCAGCGTGGCCTGCTTCGATCTTGATAGTGTTAATTTATTTTTTCAGAGTGCTTTAAGATTCAAATTTGTAGAATCCGTTTCAATTTGCCCCGGTGTAGCTTATTTTAGAAGACATTCATGGAATCCCTAAGAGTATTTCATGGGATTCAAAAGGGAGAGTTACATGGGCATTCTGAGGTGCATTTTAAGTAATTTCAGAATTCAAAGGGAATTTGGAGGATTATTTTCTAGATAATGCTGAGGAGGGTTCCATATAAAATTTCAAGGAGTATGACTAGGGAGGGAGGTATTATTGAGAATTTGCAGTCAATTCCAGAAAATTTCAGACCAGAAATTTCTTTTAAGGTTCTGTGGAATGATTTTTCAAAGCAAATTGCTCCTTAGTTCATTAGATATTATGCCCTCCGCTATTTAGGAATCTG